ATCATTTTCGGATCAACCAATCCTAGATTGACTGCTGAATTCCGAAAGTTGATGGAGAGTAAATTTGAGATGAGCTCAATGGCTCCTATTAATTTTTTCCTTGGTTTAAATATTAGACAGGGTTCGGAGGGGATTTTTATCAACCAGGAAGCCTACACCAAGTCGTTACTTGAGAAATTCGGAATGGTAGGAGATTCACGAGTTAAGGTACCGATGGCATTTGGAATGAGGCTAACACCTTCCTTAGACAAGCCTGCAGCAAATATTACTCTCTATCGGTAAATGATTGGATATTTAATGTATCTAACATCTAGTCGACTAGATATAATGTTTGTTGTTTGTTATTGTGCTAGGTTTCAGGCTAATCCTCACATGACTGATGTGAAGAATATTCTGAGATATCTCAAAAGATCATCTTCTCTCGGAATATGGTATCCTTCAAACTCCGGATTCTTTGTGCAAGCATTTTCGGATGATGATCTTGGAGGATGCGGTCTCGATCGTAAAAGCACTTTTAGGGGATGTTAGTTTCTTGATGGCAAACTTGTTAGTTGGCAATCAAAGAAACAGACTTGTGACTCAGAAATTCGTGTGGATGCAAAGCCAATTTTGAGACTATGGCATAAACATGAAGATGATTCAACTCTATTGTGACTCAGAAATTGCTATTCGGATTTGTCACAACCCAGTGCAACACTCCAAAATGAAACATATCGAACTAAGGTATCACTTTATAAAGGATCATGTAGAAGTTGGGAATGTCGAAGTACATTTCGTAAGATCCTCTGATCAACTTGTTGATATCTTCACGAAAGCCTTACCTGAAACAACCTCCAATCGAATTGTACAAGGCTTAGGAATGATAGAAGTAGAATCTGTTCTGAAACCATCTTCGTAATCGAAATTCATCACTTAAGTTCCGAACCGGTCTGAACCCTCGGAGGTACTCGCAAGTCACTATTCACACTTTGAATGGGTCCGAGCGCTCGCAACGCCTCGGAGTCTACTGTTCATCTGGGACTCAGAACATCACGTATCCTTTTTATATTATGTATTTTCGGTATTTAATTTTCTGTTTTTATTTCTTATTCAAGAAAATCCAAAATACAAAAATATTTTCTTTCTTGTTTATGTTTTATCATTTTAGAAAATCAAAAACACAAAAAATATTTTTGTTTTGTTTATTTGTGTGTTATTTTTTTAAGTTCGTTTTATCTTAGGTACCATTTCGTCAACTCAATTCAGAATGATGGGGCAGGTATATACCTCTGATTCTATGTACTAGCTAAGTGTCCCTAGAAGCATGTTGTTGCATGTTGACCAAAGCCTCTGAGACTCTATGTTGAAGCCTTAATGAAACTTTCGCTCCGAATGTTTTTTCCCAATCAGGCTAATATTCACATAAGTCATTGAGCTACCTTACTCTTCTCATATTGAGTTAAGAGTTGACTGCTTGGTCATTCTCAATACAGCAGAGGTACATTTTTATCTTCGGAACCACCTTATATTTTCTCCATCACCTTCACTTTCACATTCGTAACCCCTGAGACTCTCAGAACTTACCACTGAGGTTTATGGTTACATAAATTCTATGTTTATAATCTTCAAATTGTCATCACCACGATTTGAGTGAAACCAAAAAATATGAATCCTATTTATGTATTGACGGTGAACATTTAATAAGTTCTAGATTTTTCACTATGGAATTGACGAAATTTAACCCTCGTGGTTTGTACCTTGAAATCTCATTCTTTTTATATTTGCGAGATCTTAATGGAATGCTCTCGACCTAAGACATTTCTTCCCAACACTACAAGTAAAAGACCCTTTTACGACACACAAACCACGACACTCATTGATTTATGTTACGCAAAAGAGAGTGACATTAAAAAAGTGTCATCTCTTCAAAAATTTTAAGGATTTATGTCACGCATTATTGTGTGCCCTTAAAATAGTGTCTCTAGAAAAGAAATTAAAAGCATGGAGGGCGCTTTATTTTAAACGTGCGTCGTCTATACCTGTCGCTTTATAATTTTAATGAAACGCGCGTTTAGCAGAGGGGGAAACGAAATCCCCAAAATTTTGAAAACCCATCTTCTACCTTCTTTCTATCTTTCATCTTCGCAATTGACTCTCCCCTCTCCCTCCTTCTCTCTTCTCTCCGATCCGCTTCTCCACCACTCCTGACCTCCTTCTTATCGGTCTCATCAAATATTGTGTCCCCTCCTTAATACCTTGCAGAAATCTAAAAACTAGAAAACCCCGTCCTCACAAAGTCTAGGAAACTAGGGTTTTTTTCATCCTTCAAAGAACGACCCACATCCTCCATAGATCGATCTCTATCACTTCATTTCTCACAAGATATCGAACACTTTACATTCATAGGGCCACAAAATCGACTATTGCTTGAACTGGGGTTTTGATTTCGTATCACATAACCCTCCCTCAATTTGTTCTCCCTGTTCAATCGATTCGCTGGTTTTGATCGACTCCCTCTCACGCCGACCATCGATGTTCAATCGTCGACCATCGCCGCAACTATAAGTCTTTATCTTCAAGTCTTTATCGAAGGTTTAACCGAAGGTTCATCTATTATGTAACTCTTTATCGATGTTCAATTGTCGCTCACGCCGACCATCGATGTTCAATCGATTTGTGTGTACTCAGAACTCAGGAAGACTGTAGACGCGGGTGAAGGCGGAGAGAGAGAGAGAGAGAGAGAGAGAGAGAGAGAGAGACCTGAAAAGAAATTAAAAATATGATATTCTTGTGATCTTGTCATCCCATAACTTTTCTTTTTTCAGAACATTATAAGAAATGTTTCTTTTCTTCAGTGATTAGAGTTTATGTTGTTTGAGTATGTTCCTTTTTCATGGTTTCAGTTGAATACCCGACTGGAAAAGCCACTGCGATGTTTATTAAGAGCTTCCACAGTTCCACATTATCACTGGTGTCGACCATGCAAGGCAAGTCAATTTCTCAAAATTGTTGATAGTATTTCAACTCATTAAGTTATTTGATGATGTTATCTATAAAAAAGGAAACTGAAGGAATCATAATTACTCTTGTATTTTATTGGTAGAAATTGGAATGAATTCAATGCACTTAACATGTTTGATGAAATGCCTCTATGGAACATGAACAATTTTTTTAGATATATGTTGATAAATGTAAGGGAGAGCACAATACATAGACCAGTTGCTGGTAAGTTAAAACAAATCTCAGTTCATCCCCTTAATTTCGCTGCTGCTGCTGGTAAGTTAAAAAAAATCTCATTTCATATTCCTTCACTCTTATCGATTACTTGCTAGTTGCTACATAAATTCGATCGGTAGTGAAATTCATTTGTTTTGATGATCAATTTTCATGGGGTTTCCATGTTCCGAGATTATCGATCATATGTCTCCTACCTAGTTCATAAAGAAGTTGTACGCATTCAAAAGATCGAATTTCGATTTCGCAGTTGGTATGTAATCTTCTGGTCAGATTTTAGAAGTTGAACATATGTATCTTCCAGTTCCTGTGAATTTCATCTTTATAGGATTTGAAGGGAGTGGCAATCAAGGTATATAACATAGCATTTGATTTTAGTGACTTAATTCTTGGAGTTTGAACTAATTTAGTGTGCTCATGGGTACTTTTTTATGACATTGATACAATCTTTAAGCTACACACAGATGAACTTGAGAGATGGTTTACAAAAATTGATCATATATTTGAACACACTAGGATTCCACAAGATGTAGATGTTCTTGCTCCATTCTACAAAAACAGGGTAGATAGAGATCATCATCATCATCATCTTCCTCTTATTAGTCACCTACATTACAATTAATCTCTCTTACTCATTTTCCTTTTATTTTCTGTTTATTGTTTTTTGTTATTTACTAAGAATACATATTCTCATAAACTCCTGCAGCTTCTCTGTTCATGCTATCCAAATGGGCGAAAAAGTCAATTCCATTTTTGAGCATGCTATTGCTGTCCTCTCTCGTAAGGATGATGTTAATCATACCAGGTAGATTACAGAGGACACCCCTCAACCTTGGAAACATTACACATTACCCCCTGTAGTTCTGAATTGTTCTTATGGGGTTATGTATCTACATTTTAAACGAATGTAACAAAAATTGCTTATTTTTTGATTCAAATTTGGTGAAATTGAAGATAAAAATTGAGCTTAACTCTTAACATAATGATGATAATACTATTGCTAATCATTTGGCTGCATCTTGTATGGAAATGCTTTTAGTTGATATTTTTTTTTTATAAAATTTTGCAGGAGAGGATTGTCAGAAAATGAAATAAATTTTCTTAAACATGTACTTTCCTTTACCTTGTAGCTTTAAAATGTATATCTTTTCTTGACCTTTGTCATATGATCTCATTTACCTTTTATAATACTTAATATTTTATTGGATATACAATTACACATGCACAATGCACACACTACATTGCTTCTTAATTCGTATATTTACAGTTTTGACCCTAGATATGTTCTTATCAGAGAATTGGCTAATGTGGAAAAGACCATTGGTGCAGTTACAGGTATTGTTAGGTTTAATCACTTTTGAATAGAAGGGTAAAATGGTCATTGACTCACATTCATACAGTTTAGATATCATTTCCATAAATCATGATGTTCAAAAACTAATGAACACATTCCTGAAGTCTATGAGCTAGCATTTGTCTTTGTTATTATGTTTATTTACTAATTTTGCTCTTTGTTGATATCAGAAATTACTGAAGAAGAGGCTGAAGATCACTTGCAAGATGCAATTTAGGAAAAGTTTGCTGCATTTGGGGATGTATGTATTCTAACTACTATACAATCTTATCAAATATCATATTCTTCATTTTAGAGAACATTAATCTCTGTTAGTTTTTTTTTATTTATTTATCCTGTTATGTGTTGGATTACAGCAGTGAAAGGAGCATTAAAAATAAAAAACGAAAACAAAAAGATAATTCTCTCCTTATTATCATATGCCTAATATATTATGTACTTCAATTTGCAGAAAGATCATCAAGCAATAGATATCCTTTTAGCAGAGATCGATATATATGAGCTTTTTGCTTTCAAACATTGTTGGGGAAGAAGGGTGAAACTTGCTCTTTGTGAAGGTAATTTTTTTTTCTTAATGTATTATCCTCTATATTCTTGATATTTTCCCACTTTTTAAATCTTTTATCAAATTCTCACTTTTGGATACAGAGCTTGATGAGAGAATGCGTGACCTAAACTCAGAGCTCCAGTCTTTTGAAAGTGATGAATCTATTGAAATCCATAAACAAAAAGCTATAGATGCTTGATGAGAGAATCTGTTGAAATCCAGTCCTTTGTGAGTAATATAAAGGAAGCTAATCAATGCATCAAGTATCTTCTTGAAATGGTAATATAAAGGAATCGATTTGATGATTGAGTTTTTTTTTTGGTCTGTTTTGCTTCATAACTTGAAATTGAGTATTCTTTTACATCAAAATGATTTTTTTTGGATTGTTAATCGGTGCAAATTGTTTCCTTTTTAGGGGCTGGGTAATTGAGATAAGAGTTGGGGATATGTGAATCAATCTAAAGGCCCCACATATTAGATACTTGACAAATCACCAAAGAATGAAGTTTGACTGAAAGAAACCCTCAATACTACCTATAATTGAAAAAGTATGATCCTCTCTCTCTCTCTCTCACATACATGCATATCAGTATCAGTGTATTACAATACTTCCTTGTATATATGTATACAGGCCAAGGTCATACACATCTAGCATTGCAATTGAAACAAAACGAAATGTTGGAGGTGGCCATAAGAAAAGGTAAGCAAAGGGTAATTTGGTATTTGTTGATGTTATTGTGTATTACAATACTTCCTTGTATATATGTATAAAGTTTGTTCTTATTCAGATTTTCCTTTTACCATTGATTTCCTTATTGAGGCATTGTACTTTTGAAAATGTTAATTCTTACCTTTTGTCCATGTAGGATCCACCAGGAACAGGAAAAACACAAACAATTCTTGGGCTTCTTAGTGCCATATTACATACCAACTGAGTATCTAAGTCTCTTAGTAACTTTGTAAGACATTGATTACTTGAGGGTATTTTAGTAACATTGTAAGAGATTTATTACTTGAGGGTACTTATGGTATATAATGTTATATTCTTTTGTTAACATGGTCCTTAGTGCAATGAATCATCTTTATTGTTTATGGTATTTATTTTGTATTATGAGACTTTTAATGTGTTATTTAATTTGAAAATTAGTAAATCTATCAAGAATATATAATTTTAAAAAAATTTAAAATTATGACATGCAAAATGCGTGTCGTCTTCCTTTATGACACAGGCTTCCTTGATATGCTTTGCATGTCATAAACACGCGCGTCGTAAGGTTACGACACGCAAATGCGTGTCGTCTTCCTTTATGACATGGCCTTTCTTGATACACATTGCTCGTCATAACTGCGCGTTGTCTTCCGTTATGACAGGGCCTTTCTTGACGCGCATTTGCGCGTCGTCTGAGCGTTTTACGACACGCATTGCGCGTCGTAAAAGGCTGTTTTTCTAGTAGTACAATAGATCCAATTTTTATTTTTTTGGGATTTCGATTTTGTCTAGCCACTTAAATGATTCCAATGCATACTTGTTATTATGACTACATTGGTCAGACAAGTACTTCTTCCATACTTTCGGACTTATGTTGAGTTTCGTAGTTTGGATGAAGCAAACCCACCCATTAAAGCCTAATGAAAAGAATCCTTTCACTATTTCTCAACAAATAGATGATCATAATTCAACGGGAAGCCATGCAAGCACTTCTGAGTCTCTTTTGACTCCGAAGGAAGAGATCGTTGCCCGGGATCCATCTGCTTTTATGTTAATTTTAAATTGACATCACAGAATCCCAAATATATTTTGTTTTATTTCTTTATCTTTGGCACACACTTGCATGAAAATCCTTGTGATTTTCCAAAAGTCTGGTTCTAACCTCCGAATGATTACTTTCAACTCCGAAATCAGGTTATGGTGAATGATGTTGAATTACGAACGTGCAAAACCGAAACGACAACATTTAAGGGACAAGTTTTCAATTTGGGCGCGTAAAGTTTTCAAAATTCCTGACATCATGCTTTGTCAGTTACGCCGCTTGGCATCACGCTTGTTTGTCACACTTTTTCAGGCGACTTTTCAGGGAAATGAACCGACTTACAGCTGGATTTCTCTCTCCAGCTGTACCGTATTTAAGAAAAAAATTGACGATTGCTTTACTCACTACTTTTAAAATCTCTCAAGCAAAACTCTCTTTCTCTCAAACACTGTTCATCTTCTTCATCTGCATCCATGGCTGCTTCTTCTGAAACTCCATCCGTGGCTGACCAAATCGCTTCATCAGGGATACTGAACATCAAAGGCAATCAAAATCTCATCTTGGACCTCAACTCATCCAAATACGTTGTCTATCTCTAGTCGTTGATTGAGTTCCTTCGTAACTCTCCTTTAGCACCAGCTCTTACCATGGCAGAGAATGTCCCCTTGGTTCATCTATCTAATTCTTTCTCCACTGCAAGTTACCAAGAACATGAGTCTGTAATTACTTTTGAGATCGAATCTCACAAAACCACAATTTCCAAGTCCTGATTCAGTCGATTTCTAGGGCTTTCTCAAGCTAGGGATCTGGTTGATCCAGATTTAATCTCTAAGTCTGCAATTCTGGAGATGTTGTACAAGATGGGTTACGTGGGCAATCTATCCATTTTATAAAAGTTCAAGAAGCCCAACCTTCCTCCGATGTGGAATGGCCTTTTTACCCTTCTATTCAAAAGCTTTTCAGAGCGGGTTACAGGGTCGAATAGTGCAAGTAAGCTTTTTTGTACTATCATCTACGGATGATATCATGGAATCAACCTCGATTATGGTTCCATCCTTTGGGCACAACTAGTTCAGAGCACTCTTTCCACAACAAGGCACTTGGAAATCTCTTGTGCTCGATTCTGGTCTGTCATTGTCTAGAGGTCCATCACTCCCCTCAACCTTCCAATGGTTGCAGGGTCTATCATCGCAGCTATTCTTATATTTCACACTTCGAACTTCATCGTGTCTGATCCTACGAAGTTCACCTTTATTGGATCAATTCCGGAGGCGATGCTCAACTATATTCTAACATACAACGAGCTTATTAATGGGTATCGACAGAAACCTGCATTTGTCCTCGTCCTCTAACACCTGAGATGTAAACGACTTTGGAGGAAGCGAACAAGCCTAAAAAGGGAGGTAAGCGAAAGGCGAAGGTTGGACCTTCCGATCCCGCTGAAACTCCGAAGAAGAAAGTCAAAAAGGCTGATCGGAAGCCTAGGTCTCCTTCTCCAGTTGTCAAGGAGGATTCTGAGTCTCACAATGTTTCCGACGTTCAGAGAACAGAGCAAGTCCAGCACGAAACCGAAGATATAGTTGCGACTTCGCAACCAATGGTCTTGGAACCAGCTGCTACTCAACCCAATCCGGAGGTAATTTTTTCGATGCCCACCTATGTTCCTTTAACATAAGATTTCTTTTAGGGTCTTACTCCTCCATCTTCTCCAAATCACACCTCTACTCAAACGAAAACACCTATCACAATTTCTCCATACCCAAAAGTTTATGTTGGTGTTTCGCAACCCCATATATCTATTGCTCTATCAACACCACTCTATACAGATTCTACAACAACAACTACAACCACCACAAGTACACCGCCAGTAACTGTCAACGTATCTGATACGGGGGCAGGTGCTTCTCGTGTCACTTTTGGTCCTGATTTCACTCCCATCTCACCTCTACGGCATGATGATCCGGATACAGTTTTGGGTGATGCTCGGGATGATTTCCAAGACTTCCACTACAGCCCATTCAACGTTCAACCATCAAGTGATGACAAAGATGCACCTATGACGAAGGGGAAATTCAAAGCTCTCAATGAAAAGTTGGATACTCTAATTGAGTCTTCAAAAACTTCATCAAGCACTGAATACTACTACGAGTCTGTCAAATCATTAATCGAGACTTTCACTAAGGAGCATGCCAAAAGTCTTGATGCATCTACCAAAGCTGTGGGAAATTCAGAAAAGATTGTTCGTGAGGTGATCGAAAAAGTCGAAAACTAGTGAATGATGTGACTGAGTTTATGGTAGACTTCCATCATTCCTCAGACAAATATATTGAAGCTGTGAATAAGGTCATTACGAGTCTTGGCTCGACTCTTCAAACTGAGAAAGCTGCTCTTTCAAAGGTTCGCACTAAAATTCAGGCTGATAATGTTGGGCTGCAAGCATCTATTACTTCCAAGCTTGATAAGCTTCAAGAGGACCTTGCTGTTGAGAATTCGCTTATGGATAAACTCGCAGTGAAACCCGAGAAGATAAAAGTTCTTTCTGTGCAACTGTCGCATGCAACACAGCAGATTGATGAGCTCAAGTCTGAAAAGGCTGTGATAAAAAGCTGTGTTGGAGATGTTAATCAATACTTGCTAAATCTCATCGAGACTCGTGATTCTTTACTCACGGTATCCGTTCGCCAACATCTGGCTGATAAACTTAAACCCGTCTTCTCAATTTTCAATCATATAGAAGGTGTTTCGGAGTCTGGCTCACTTCCGAAACAATGGGTAGAAGTCAAGAAAACATCTGACGGTGGTTCTGGTGAAAACAAAACGAAGCCTCCACCGAAATCAAACGATCCGAAGGGTAATGAAGCTTCAGGATCCAAAGGAAAAGGGAACCTAGTTGATGATGATGATGAATATTTATTAGAAGAATCTCAACTTAAAAGAAAGCAACGTGATCAAGAGCTTGATGAAAATATGCGAGTTGCCAGAGAAGCTGAAGCTCGTGAACAAGAGGCTCGTGATGCTCAAATCACTCTCAAAACTCAAAAGGCTCTCTTCCCTCCTTGGTCCATGGAGCGGATTCTGCATGAAGCTGTTGATAATCCAAATGTTTATTGGTTGGAGCATGTTATTTCGTTTGACTTGGACAACTCCTTGGATTCGCAGCTTGACTTTCCTATTACTCCGAAGGCTTTCCTGTTTCGCAGTTTTGAAAAGATTGAGAAAGCTCCCATCACAGACTACGATGTCAATCATTCGCTTGTCTCTTTCTATCTCAAGCATGGGAAGCCTCAGTACCAAACTTGGAGTTTAAAGAAACTTTCTGCAGTTAAAGTTATTGGTCCAATTGAAACTGAAAGTTTTATCAATGTTTGTTTCAAAGAAGTTCGAGGATCAAGGAATTCAGTCTTTGAGTTCACACTCGCTGAATTACCATGTTTAAATCCGTATGATT